ATACGATTGGATGGAAGTCTGGAATGCAGGGCTAGCAACAACCCCTCCTTCCATCTTGTCACCATGGAAAACTCATTGGTGGTGTCCACCTGCATGGCTAATTAGCGTCATGACAATAACAGGCCAGGCTTTCTTGAAGCACAGCCAGTGTTTCAGAGACAACAGACCAGACTCCCTGACAACCAACCACCTGCATCCTTCAGGGATAACAGATTTCTTTGACACAAGAATAGAACAGTGATTAGCAGGAAAACTGAACTTCAGAGATAATGAGTGATTTACAGGAAAGTGATTTAACTCAGAGACAAATGAAATATAACTTAAGTTGTTGTTTTGTTGTTTAGGAGCAGCTAGGTGGTGCCATAGTGCACAGAGCACTGGGCTTGGAGTCAGGAAGACTCATCTTCCTTAGTTCAAATCCAGCCTCAGATACTTATTAGCTGTGTGACTCTGAGCAAGTCACTTAACCCTGTTTGCCTCAGTTTCCTCATCTGTAAAATTAGCTGGAGAAGGAAATGGCAAACCACTCCAGTATCACTGCCAAGAAAACCCCCAAAATAGGGTTATAAAGAGTCAGACGTGACTGGAATGACTGTAGTCAGTAGTGATATAAAATGAAATAAATTACAGCATAAAGCAATTTGATTTTCTCAGTTCTTACCAGTAAACCTTAATTGTAGCGATGCATGATAAAAAGTATTAATTCAGCGAAACCAATGAGCACATCAACCGTATCTGACAATATATACATATATATGTACATATACATATATGTGTGTATGTGTGTGTGTACACACACATACACACATATATATAAAAATAATATTGTGTCCCCCTAGCTCCCACCTTAGCAGAGAGGGGAGGCTCTTCTCCAGGACCAGCTTTGGTCATTATAATTGCATAACATTCAGTTTTGTTTTCTTATTCTTTCCATTTACATTGTTACAGTCACGGTGTATATTATCTTCCTGGTTCTGTTCACTCCATTCTGTATAATTTTATACAAGTTTTCTCAGACTTCTCTGAATTCATCATGTTCTTTTTGTGCTATTTTCACATCATAGGCAGTTAGGTGGGTGAGTGCATAGAGTGCTAGGCCTGGAGTTAGGAAGATTTAAGTTCAAATTTGGCCTCAGATACTTCCTAGTTAGTTCTGTGACTCTGGGCAAGTCACTTAACTGCTCTCTGCCTCAGTTCCCCTAACTGTAAGGTGGTGATAATAATGGCACCTATATTTCAGGATTGTTGTGAGTATCACATGAGGCAATTTGATAAAGTGCTTAGCACATAGTAGGCACTTAATAAATGCTTGTTCCCTCCCCTCCCCATCTTGAATTGCAAATTTAGAGGGAAGACATAATTTGTTCTCCTCTCCTGAAGCACATTTGGAGTGACTTGCTTCTGGTGCATTTATTGCAGCTTGCCTTGGCTACCGCAATTTACTAGTTTCAATTTTTCAAGGAGAGTATTGTATTGAAGTCAGAGGTCCTTTGTTCAAATCCCAGTCTCTCATTCCCTAACAGGTCAGTGATCAAAGTATATGAACAGGCAGGTTTTTTTTTTAACTTTTTAAAAACTTTAATATAGTGTAACTTAATTTTAAAAAATGTTCATTTTCGGATTCTTTCCTTCTCCCAACTCCTTCCCCACCTGTTGAGAAGGCAAAAAATACAAAACCCATTACAAATATGAAGTCCAGCCAAACAAATTTCTATATTAGGTATGTTCTGGGGGAAGAACAGAAAAAGAAAGAAAAAAACATATTTCATTTCTTCACTGAGTCTATCATTTCTCTCCCTGGAGGTGGATAGCATTCTTCATCATGAACCCTTTGGAAATGTGGTGGGTCATTGTGATGATCAGAGTTACCAAGTATTTCATAGTTGATTATCTTTATAATATTGCTGTAACTGTGTGAATTGTTCTTCTGGTTCTGTTTACCTCACCCTGCATCAGTTCATATGAAAATGCAGTTTTCAAAGGAAGAAATACAAGCTATTACTAGCCATATGAAACAATCAGTAATAATTATGCAAATTAAAGCAACTCTGACGTTTTACCTTACATCCATCAGATTGGCAAAATTGACAAGAAAGGGAAATGATGACTATTGGAAGGGCTGCAAGAAAACAGACACACTAATGCATTATTGATAGAGCTGTGAATTGGCCCAGTCATTCTAGAAAGCAATTTTAAATATGCCCGGAAAGTCACTAAATGTACATATCCTTTGATCCAGTAATACAACTACTAGGTCCCTACCCCAAAAAGATCAAAGAAAGAGGATAAGGAGTCATGTGTACAAAAATATTTCTACCAGCACTTTTTGTGATGCCAAAGAACTGGAAACTAAGGGGGTACTCATCAATTGGGAAATGGCTGAACAAATTATGATATAGGAATGGAATGCTATTTTGCCATAAGAAATGATGAAAGGGATGGTTTCAGTGAAACCTGAGAAGGCTTGTATGAGCCAGTGAAGAGTGAAGTGAGGAAAGCCAGGAGAACAATTTCTATATAACAACAGCATTGTAAAGACAAACAACTTTGAAACACTTGAGAACTTTGATCAATACAATGGCTAACCATAATTCTGGAGAACTGATGGTGAAACATGCTGTTCACCACCCGACAAGTGATAGACTCAGGATGCGGAATGAGACATCTATTTTGGGACACAGTCAATACAGAAATTTGTTTTGCTTGACTATACTCATTCGTTACAAGGGTTTTGGTTTTCTTTCTTTTCCCCACCATGGGGAATGGATGTGGGAAGAAGAGAAAATAGATTTTTGTTAATTAAAAAAAAATTGGATTTGCTTCTAATCAATTCCTCTTCTCTTCTCGTGGGAAAAAAATGAGCACTACTCTTTACTAGCTATGCATCTTTGATAAATTACTTCCATCCTCTGGGCCTCAGTTTCCCTTATCTGTGAAATGAGGGCTTTAGATGAAATAATTTCTAATGACCCTGCTAGAAATGAATTCTATGGTCCTATGACCATCACCTTGGCTAAGTACATGCGAGACAGGGGAAACTGAGGTTCAAATTGCCAAAGTTCAGGCTGCTACTATAACAAGCATTGTAAACAAAAGGGAAACCAGGTGCCATAGGTTGCCTCAGTCAGTATTATTGTTAAGCTCAATGGTAATTTCCAGAGTGGATCACTGCCAAAAGGATTTGTCTAGTGATTCAGAGTGTTTAGCCTTCTTTTGGTATCAAGGTTGGCATGTACCCTAGCCCACTCCAGCATCTTAAAGGACTCACAACTTTGCTCGTTTAACTCCAGATAGCTACACCCCTATCTCTCTCTTTTTTTAAGAGCATCCTTCCTAAAAATCTTCCCCCCTCCCCCCACTGATGACAGAGACCTTACTTCTTCCCAAGGCCAAACCCAAAGCGGTCTTGCCTTCCTGGAGGAACAGTGCTCATCACCAGTCCTGAATGGTCAAGGCTTCCAGGGAGGACTTCGTGCCTTTGATGCATTTTTTCAGCAGAAAGCACAGCAGGCTAGTAATAGATTTACTGAAATAATAAAAAAAAAAAAGAATAAAAGTAAGAAAAGAGGGTTACTGACACACTTTTTTAAAATGCGTAGCAGAGAGCAGAAAGAAACACAGACGAGTAGGAGATCCTTGAAGAAAACATGTTTGATTGTTATGTACTTTAATGGGGAAGCAAACAAGCTAGTACCTGGTACAGAGTTGTGGCTGTACAGGCCTGAGGCTCTTCTTCTGTTCTTTGTATGTAGAAATGCTCATTTTATTTGGTGTTAATTTCAAAATTTAAAAAAGACAGCATTTGGATACACATGTGTGTACACACGCATGCACACATATGCACATGCTTATCCACATATACACATGTGCACATGTACATGTATGCATAATACATACGTGCACGCACATCTATATAGACATAGACATAGATGTAAAAAACACGAAATGTGAAATTGAGTGTCCTACTCAGTGGTCCTTTCTCCTCTGGGTTTATCGAGCTGGACTATAATAAGAACATTAACTTAGATTTCTCTTGTGTTTTAAGGTTTATAAAATCCTTTTCTCATCACAATCCTTTGAGAAGGATGACACAAATATTATTATCCTGACTGATAGCGGAGGAAATTCAGGCTTGGTCAGGTTAAATGACTTGAGCTCGGTCACATCGCCCTAAGGCAGCGGTGGGGAACCTGTAGTCTTCAGGCCACATGCGACCATGGCTGCAGGTTCTCCACCCCGGGCAAGTCTAAGGTCTCTAAGGGCTGGGCCCTCCCCACTACTTTGAGCCAATGGAATCATAGAATCACAGGATTTGAGTGGTGGGAGAAAGGCCCTGAGCAGCCTAGCTAGTTCAGGGATTCCCAAGCTTTTTTGGTCCCCCTATCTCTTGGTCTTCAACAAATTTTACTGTATCTTATTCAATAGGAAAGGAGATAAAATCTAGGATTTACCATGCTTATGAACATGAGAAACAAAGTTATTAAATTTAGATCTTGTGTGCACATTTAGTAGGAATGGCATGTTTCTCTAAGGGTACACTGAAATGTAACTTTATTGATTAGAAATCAATTCAGAAAAATCAAATCAAAATATTCCCCATACTACTTTGATGAGTTTCTTATACCCACTGAGGGTATGTGTACCCCAAATTGGATCCAAACTATACCTAAAAGGAATCCCCACTTCCACATCCTCTACAAGCGGTAGTCCAGCCTCAGCTTGGAGGCCTCCAGTGAGGGGAAATGCACCATCTTTGGAGGAAACCCACACCACCTCTGCAGGGAGCCCATTCCATTTTTGGATAGTCCTAATTGTTAGGAATTTTTCCCCTAAGTTGAGGCCTAAATTTACCTCTTTGCAGCTTCTATCCCTTTCTCCAAGTTCTACCTTGTGATCCAAATGGAGCAACTCTAATCCCTTTTCCATATGGCAGCTTTTTTAGTTACTTGAAGACCAGGGGACCATCTCTTACTGCTAACTCTTTTGTGTTTCTGGTGTAGGTTCTCTTGGCCAAACGCAAGTCTGATGGGAAATTTTATGCTGTAAAAGTCTTACAGAAGAAATCCATCTTGAAAAGGAAAGAGGTAACAGAGCTTGAGTAATGAGAATTAGGGAGACTTTGCTTCTCCCTTCCCCCTTTGCTCCTCCATCTACGCCGCATCCCTTCAATTCCATAAAGTCCTCAGAAAGCTGTTAATATACATTTTCATGCTCTGGGCATAAGTGCCCAGAACCAGCCTCCTGGGGTTTGGGATTGCATGGGTGAGTGTTTGTGTTTAACTAGCTCTAGCTTAGACTCCTCCTAGGTTGGGCTGTACCTGATTAGGACAGACTTTTCTTGTCTATCCACAAAAGCTTGGCACCAGACAAGTGGAGAATGTAGACAGATCCTGTTATTCCTGTTTGAGAACTATGCTTGCTTCCCCTGGGTAGACACCGCTATTCAGGGCAGGCTGGAAGCAGCTGCCTATGAATGGAGATGGGGATGCTCATGTGTTTCCCCTGGTCTGTGTGTTGGGGCAGGAAGCAGTGTAACATGGATTTTTTTTTTCCTTTTGGGTCTGAATCCTGGTAGCAAAATCACATCATGGCAGAACGCAATGTGCTCCTAAAGAATGTGACGCATCCTTTCCTGGTGGGCCTCCGCTACTCCTTTCAGACTTCAGAAAAACTCTATTTTGTCTTAGACTATGTCAATGGAGGAGAGGTGGGTCACCAACGCTTTTCAGGGGGCTACATCAGGCACATTTAATATCATAGGCTCACAGGCTTGGGGTGGGAAGGAATCTTAGAGATTACCTAGCTCAAGCCCCGTCATTGTACAGATGAGGAGAATGAGGCCCAAAGGTAAAGGAATTTGCCCAATGTCACACAAATAGTAGGCAGCTAGGTGGAGCAGTGGATAGAGCGCAGGACCTGGAATCAGGAAGACTCATCTTCCTGAGTTCAAATCTGGCCTCAACACTTACTAGCTGTGTGACCCTGGGCAAGTCACTTAACCCTGTTTGCCTCAATTTCCTCATGTATAAAATGGGCTGGAGAACGAAAGGGCAGTTCAGTATCTCTGCTAAGCAATCCCTAAATGGGGTCATGAAGAGTTGGATACAAGTAATTGACAAAACAACCACAAACAAATAGTAAGTGACTGAGCTAAAATTTGAACCTTGGATCTCAGACTCCAAATTCAGCATTCTTTCCAATGTACAATGGAACAGAGGGTCTTCCCCTGTGCTGAGCCTGTCTCAGATGACCCATATGTTCTGAGCCTTCGTGTTAATGGGGTAACGGATATAAATTCTGGCAGGGACATAGGGGAAATCTAGGCAGTGGGAAAATAGAAGCTATACGTAAAAATCTATTAAAAAATAAAGATAATAGAGAATGGAAGAGGTGTCAGAGGATGATAAGGGAATTTATAAGGGAATAGATAAGGGAAAGTTTTCCAGTTTTCAGAATGGGAAAAGAATGGAGTATACAAACTTTAGGCCGGCAAACTTCACTTTGATCCTCGGCAAACAGGTAAGCTACATTACTGAAAGGGCGTGAATTTTGGCTTTTGGAGACACAAAACTTTAACTTTGAATTGTGTCATTTATTTGGTTTTTTAAAAAAATTTTTATTTTTAAGCAATTGGGAATAAGTGACTTGCCCAGGGTCACACAGCTTGTGTTATCTATTTGAAGGAATGATTGTGTGTGTAGGGGAATTCAGGGTAGGTTCAAGAACCCTATCAGGTAGGTGTTGGAGTGGATAGAGTGACAGGTCTGGAGTCATGATGACCTAAGTTCAAATCCAGCCTCAGACACTTACTAGCTGTGTGACCCTGAGCAAGTCACTTAACCCTGTTTGCCTCAGTTTCCTCAACTGTCAAATGAGCTGGAAAAGGAAATGGCAAACCAGTCCAGTATCTTTGCCAAGAAAACCCCAAATGGGGTCACAAAGAGTCAGATGTGACTGAAAATAGCTGAATAACAACAAACAAGAACCTTTTATAACCTTGAGAGGTGGGGAGGGTGAGGAGGAAGTTTTCCGTTGTTATAGAAAAGGCCAAAGCAAAGCTGCCCACATAAGCTTGGTCTCGTGGCTCCTTAAGCTCAACAATCTGCCTCACCATCGACAGCCTCTTACACACTTCCTGTCGTGTAGAATGTGATTACTATTGGCCTGTGAGAGTTGAAGGTGATTGATGGACGTGGTGCCTCCTCTGTGCAAGGAGGCGCTTGCTTACAAGCTGTTCTTTCCTCCAGCTTTTCTTCCACTTGCAGCGGGAGCACTGTTTTCTGGAACCTCGAGCTCGATTCTATGCCGCCGAGGTGGCCAGCGCTATTGGCTACCTGCATTCTCTGAACATCATCTACAGGTAGGCTTTCCCTAAGCACTTCCTAAGAGACTTTGAATTTCTTATAGGCTCAGCTAGAATTTGGCTCTTAAAAATCTTATGTACAGTGTATTTTAAATATGTGTTAAATTTAATGCTATGATTAACAATAATGCCGCAATTATTTTGCTTCCCATTCTAAATTTCTTCTTTGTCTAGATCAGCAGTTCTCAAAGTATGATCGGGAAACCCTTGGGAGCCCCCATGACCTTTTCAGAGGTTTTTAGAATAATACAAAGTTGTTTTGATTTCTGAAATTTAAATATCAATAGATATAACCCACATAAACAAAAGCTCTTTAAGGGTTCCTTAGTAATTTTTAAGAGTTTAAAGGGGTTTGGGGACCAAAAAGTTTGAGAACTGCTTGTCTAGATGTTTGCTAACCATCCTTTTAATAATACATTTTAGTTGTTTACAGTTATTCCCTTGGGGCGCAGCACCCCATGATCTGGAAAATCTGTGTAAAATTTTTTAGCCCTCCCTTTGTACCGGAGAAGAAGTCTCTGTCAATGTTAAGCAAAAATACTTTTTCTGTGTCATCTCCTGGCCTTTGCGTGTTGTCTGCAGCTTCATTATCTTTCCCCCTAAATCCTCCAAATTTTCCTACTACTGTTGAGAGTATCATCTTCCCCCCCTAGGCCCCAGGGCTCATGGGTGTCACCCTTAACTTCTCACTATCTCTCACCCCCGCTGCCCCATATCCAATCTGTTGCCAAGGCCTGTTGATTTCACCTTTATAACATCTCCCATATATGCCCCCTTCTCTCCTCTGATAATTTGACTACCGTGGTGCACTTTTGGTGGTGGACTCACCCTTGGGCTAGTGTGGTAGCTGGCTGGTAGCCCTGCCTGCCATAAGTCTCTCCCTACTTGAGTCCATCATTTATCCAGCCTAAGTGATTTCCCTAAAGTGCCAGTCCAAACATGTCACACCCACATTCTGTAAGCGCCAGTGGCTGGCTCCCTGTCACCTCCGGGATGAAATGTAAAATCTTCTGTTTGGCATTCAAAACTCTTCATCACCTAAACACCCTCTTGCCACTTACACCTTTCTAATCTTCATATACCTTACATTCCTCCACATACTTTTCGATGCAGTGACACTGACCTCCTGGCTTCCTTTAAGTCCCAGCTAATATCCTTTCTACTGGAAGCCTCTGCAGTCTGTCTTAATTCTAGTGCCCTTTCTCTGTTAAATATTTCCTATTTATCTCGTGTATAGCTTATTTATAGACATATGTTTGCTTATTGTCTTCTCCATTAGATGGTGAGCTCTTGGAGGGAAGGGCCTGTCTTTTTCCTTTTTCTGTACTCCTAGCACTTAGCACAGTTTCTGGCACATGGCAGAAACTTAATAAATGATTACTGACTGATTGACTATTCAGGCCCACGTCCCCTCTCACCACTGGCTCTAAATGGCCTCCCTGCCACCAGCTTTTCCTTTCTTGAGTCCATCTTCCATAAAGCTGTCAAAATAATCTTTCTGAGGCTTGGGTCTGATCATGTCACTCCTCCCAAAGTCAAAAACCTTTAGTTACTCCTCATTGCCTTGATGACAAAATATTAACTTCTCAGCCTGCCATTTAAGACCTTTTATAATTTGGTTTCAATCTACCTTTTTAGCCTTCTTTGGATTTCTCTTCTCTTTTTTTTTAAAAATGAGTTCAACTCAAACATTTATTAAGTACTTCCTATTTGAATAATGCTGCACTAGGCCCTGAAGAAAGATGCAAAATTTAAAACGGATATTATCCTGTCCTCAAGGAACTTACAAAATAGTATAGGTATGAGCACACCAATAACTACTAAATAACATACAGAAATATTGTAGAGTCATTGACCTCCATAGAAGTTTTATTTATTATAAGTCATCTTTTTTTTAACAGCTGCCATTGCCACCATCCCTTATCACATAATTAACAACATCAGCAGTTCTTCCAATTAAAAGGCCCTCCCTTTAATGACTGAGCATTTCACTTACTAAGTAGTTCTCTACAGAAGTGTGTTGGACTCTTCCTAACTCCATGGGGTTTTCTTGGCAAAGATGCTGGAGTGGTTTGCCATTTTCTTCTCTAGCTCATTTTACAGATGAGGCAACTGAGGCAAACAGGGTTATGCCCAGTGTCACACAGCTAGTGTCTGAAGCCTGATTTGAGGCCAGATTTGAACTCAGGAAGATGAGTCTTCCTTACTCCTGGCCCAACACTCTATCCACTGTGTCACCTAGCTGTCACAGAGGTTTACTTCATCCAAGTACCTATGGGAATAATAATAATAACCTTCATTTATATAGTGCTTTAAGGTTTTCAAAATGCTTTACAAATATCTCATTTTATCCTCACTACAACCCCCTTTTACAGATGAGGAAACTTAGGCAGATAAAGGTTAAATGACTTGCTCAGGGTCACACAGCTAGCAGTGTCTGAGTCTGCATTTGAACTCAGGTCTTCCCGACTCCATGTCCATTGTTCTTTCCCCTGCATCACTTAGCTCTCTCTTACTTTGAAGGAGGGTACCTCCTCAAGGTAGTGAATTCACTACAGATTTGCTGAATGCCAGGATGACTTAAATCCCCACCAAATACCAGTTCCACAATGAACACATATTGCAGAAACACAGAAACACATTTATCCAAATCATAGCAAAACAGAAATCAGAGAAGATATACATAGGAGAATATAAACCAGACAATACAGAATGAAGGAGCTCTCCTATTGGGAGTGAGATAGTTCAGCTCACCCAAGGGAAAACTCCTCCGAGACTCTAGTGTAGCAAGATAGGGAAGGGAACATGATGGCGATTGTCCATTCCTCTAATGTCTTCCAAGAGTCTTTTCCTTCAGCAACCTGAAGTGAGCTTGTCCTCTACTATCTTCCTTCTAAAAACTGGAAGTCAGAAGTCAGAAGCAAAACTTGAAGCTTGAGGAGTCCCCAAGTGGGACTGGCCCTGGAGAGTCTGGAAGAGGTTCTCGAAGCTACTTTCGGTTGATTCTATAAGATGTTATTATTTTGATTACTTGGTATCCCTTTCCCCCCTCCCAGTTTGTGTTCTTCAACTGAGCATTCTTCGTGACCAAAAACATTGAGTTAAGATTCACACATCTATGTGAACTGCATTCAAATCTGATTATGTATGATCAAGATTCCATGCTTAGCCACATCTTCAAACATCAGCTAGCTTTTCCTACACAGGAAAAACTTCATATCATATGGCTTGGTTTACTTAAGACTTTTCTCTCCCCAAACAGTAAATATGGGACTAAGGACTGTAAATATCATAGTGTCAACATTTTAATTGTTTTTATTATGAAAACAACAACAAAAAAAGAGATGAAGCATAGCAGTGGTTTACTTGGCCATTTGCAATCTTGTCTTCTCATAGTTGAGAATGTTTTTATCTAAATGGTCAGTAGTTGGGTCCAACACATTCTGACCTCAGTAGAATGTTTGTGATATTGGCCTTTTCATGAAAAACTGGCTTTGTTTGACCACTGTAGCCACTCTGCTTCCTGTCATGGCCTCTTTTTTCCCCTAAGGCAGTCTTTCCTTTCTCGTACTGTGAGACTGGTGCTTGTAGCACTTTGTTTTAGTAGATTCTGTGAGTTTTGGAGACACTCACCCATTATTGTCTCAATGAAGAACAGGCATTCTATTGACTCTTTAGGTGCTACTTTCTCTGACAAGCCTTAATTCATACTCTCTCCCTCAAATTACTCTATATTTACTTATCAGTGTACATGTTTTACCTCCCACTAGAATGAAGGCCCTGGAAAGCAAGGGCTGTTAGAGTTTTAGCTTTGAATCCCCTGTGCTCTCCATTTAGTACTTATTCAAGAAATGTTTGCTGAATCGAATTAAACTGAATCCATTTGGGAGCATAGTTTGTTTTTGTTTCAGGGCTGTGATCATTGAGTTCGTGACATTCCTTAAAGTCTCCTTGCCCTGATTTCCATCAAGAAAACAAAGACAGCAGTATCTGCTGATCTTTACCCTCTGAAAGCTATTATGATAATCAGTGGTAATGGTGATAAGGGTCTGAAGGATAATGATTAGATTGCTAGCTCTTGGTATGAGCAGGGCCTGTGTCTTATGTTCACGACTTTGCACATAGTTGGTGCTTAATAAATGTTTATTGGATTGAATTAATAACAGTTTTGTGTACAGTGCATTATACAGCTTTAAAATTGCTTTCATATTATCATCTTATTTAATCCTTATAAACCATCTTGTAAATTAGGCAGTTCAGATGCTTTCCCTATTTTCCAGAACAAGAAACTGAGACTCAGAGATTCAAGTGACTTACCCTGCATTACAAGGCTAGTTTGTGATGGAGCCATTATTAAAATTCGAGTCTTCTGAATGCAAAGCCAACATTCCTTTTACTATTCTAAAGGTGATATCTCAAGATTTAAAAAATAGTCACGGAGGCATATTTTTTCTGTCTTTATAAAGGGCTTTCATGGAAGTGGCTTAAGGGAAAAAGAAGATGTATATGCTGGGTGCTCCTAACTGAGGGGAAAGTTGGTCTAGGTCTGGCCTTGAGAGTCTCTTTGGGTCCTAAAAAAGAGAGTGGGGTTGGGATTAGGGGTGGGGCTGAGTCCGTGTTTAGAGCTGGTGGAGCTGGGAGCGTTACAAGAATTCTACTTATCAGCTTCCTTTCACTTATTTGTTAAACCAGCTATCTCTTTACCAGCTTAGGTTGGAGACTGTGAATTCATAGCGTGACCAAGCATGACCCAGCAGAAGCTTGGTTTAGGAGCTCCACTGATGCTAAGAAAATGACAGTGTAGTGAGGCCCGTAATTATATTTAGTGCTGGCCTGAATTAAAAAAGCCTTTGTTCAGTCAAAATCACCTCTCCCTTGGAGCCAATTTCATGGGATTGAGCTGCCTTCCATTTTTGCTACTAACCCCTACCTTCACATAAAACTGTTCCACGTGTCAATTTTAAAAATAGGTTTTTGATATGTAGCACCCCATCTTTTCTACTTGGTCCCCAGAGGGCAGTTACTCCCTACTATTCTAAGGGTAACCCTGGAGGTCTGTACTCCTAACACTATATATAGCTCTTGATCTCCCCATTAACAATAAGCCAGTAGGCAAAATTAGCTCTTAGCAAAGCCATATATTAAAATGACATAGGAAGAACCTTGTAACCTTCTCTTATAAACCTGGGGCACACTCTCCTACAAATACGTATCATATCCATTGAGATGGTGGGGATAAACTTAAAAAGTATGATGAAAATGAGTCATATGAGTAGGATTCATATGAGTAACTCAGAACTCCTGGTGTTACAATGCTTTTTCTTGTTGTAGATTCCTTATACTGAAGGAATCTACAGGCAACTAGGTGGTACAGTAGATAGAGTGCCAGGCCTGGAGTCAGGAAGACCTGAGTTCAAATCCAGCCTCAAGACACTTACCAGCCGTATGACCCTTGGCAAGTCACTTGACTTCTGTTTGCCTTAATCTCCTGGAAAAGGAAATGGCAAACCACTCCAGTGCCTTTGCCAAGAAAACCCTATGGACAGTTTGGGCCATAAGGTCATGAAGAGTACAACACACCTGAATAACAACTTCCAAATAATAATGCAAAAAATAACGGTAACAATAGTAATAATAACTAGCATTTATATAATGTTTAAGGTTTGCAAAGCATTTTACAAATATTATCTCATTTGATTTTCACCACAACTATGGGAAGTAGCTGCTATTGTTATCCCCATTTTACAGATGAGAAAATTGAGGCAGGCAGAAGTTAAGTGACTTGCCCCAGGGTCACCCAACTAATAAGTAGTTGAGGCTGGACTTGAATTCAGGTCTTCCTGACTCGGGGCCCAGCACTATCCACTGAAGTTTGGAGTGTTAGATCCTCAGAGTCCTCTACTGCATCTTGGAACACAGCGCTAGGGATCTTGGAGCCCTTAGACCTGGGCTGTCCTGGTCTGGGTGTTTCTGTGTTTTTCTGGTGCTACTGATCCCATCTATGAATTATCCCTTATTATTCTGTCCTTGAATGTGACTTAGTTACAAGCATTAGTATTTGTATGAATGTCTGAGATCATAGATGTGAGACTGGGAAGGAATTTAAGGGGTTTCCTGACATTTTTTTTATTAATGTCGTGATTTCTCCACATGATTAAAATAGAAACAATTAAATTGGCATGCTTGGGCAGTACACGAGCATGGATTAAAAGTTGGAAGGAACCTTAATAATCACATAGCTCATCTCTCTATCTTATTTTACAGACAAGGAAACTGAGGCCCAGAGGAGAAGTAACTTGCACAAAATCACACAGTAGCACAGCTAGCATTCAGACCTGGGTCATGGGGTTCCACACCCAGGGCTCCTTCTCCTAGCACCCTGCTTCCCTCCAGCCTTCTGCCTCACTGTCCGTCCCTTCTTGTTTCCCTCTGTAATTCAGGCTTGGGTGGAGAAGGAGGCAGTCATGGCTTGGTGCAGGAGAGCACTGACAATGTGCTTTGCTTTGTTCTTTTCTTCTATTCATCACGTTTTTACTTATAGCCCCTTTTGGTCTTCAGAAGGCCTCCTTTAAAATACCACTATGAGGGAGGTATTTGCGAGGTATTATTTTCCCTGTTTTGCCAAGTGAGGAAACTTGAACTCAGAGGCTAAATGATTTGCCAAAGGTACCAGAGTGGCAGAGCCATGATTCGCCCTATGTCCCCTTTCCCCCATTATGCTGGCTGTACTTTTCTTAAATTCAATTTTAAAAAGTATTTATTATGTAACTATTATTCAAAAGACACAGGAGATACAAAGATAGCAAATGACATAGTACCTGCTCTCAAGGAACACACACTTTACGGGGGATTTTGGGTGTCCTTAATGAATAGCAAAACAACAAAATTTTCCTTTTTCATCTTCCACAGGGACTTGAAACCCGAAAACATTCTCTTGGATTGCCAGGTCCGTATATGGGCGAGGGTTGTGTGTGTGTGGGTGTGTGTGGGTGTGTTTTTGTGGGTGTGGGTGGGAGTTAAGATAGAAGAATGACTTGCTAGCTGGAAACTCAGAGGGACCTAGGAAGACAGACTCCCAATCCTAACATGGGGATTTAGGAAGTAAGAACAAAGGCTTTTTCAGTGATACATTTCTAAAAGGATTTATTTGTTTGAGGTCACAGTGGGGGCAGAGTCAGAACTCACACTACCCTACCTACCTCCCCCTACCCCCACCCTTGCCATTATAAGGATACTTTTCTTAAATTGTTTTAAAAATTTTATTAAGCACCTGTTAATGTTAAGAGTAAGACTTCCTCTGATGGCTCATTGCAGCACAGAGGTGACTTGGCTTTTCAAGGACTCTGCTAGACATAATCAATGAGTCAGCTAGGTGGTTCAGTGATTAGAGGGCTGGGCTTGGAATTAGGAAGACCTGAGTTCAAATGTGACTTCCTAGTTATGTGACCTGGGCAAGTCACTTAAACTGTCAGCCTCAGTTTCCTCATCTATAAAATGGGATTTTAACAGCACCTACTTTCCAGGGTTGTTGGAGGATCAAGTGAGATAATAATTCTAAAGCACTTACCACATAGTAAGCACTGTGCAAATATTAGCTGTGATGATGATGATGATGCCGGTGATACACAAGCCTTGCCAATGCCATTCAAGTCAATAAACATCTCTTAAAGTGCCTGCTTTGTTCGAGGCACCACGCCAGGCGTTTGGAATATGAGGACAAAAATGAAACAGCCCCAATCTATGATACCCTAAGATATGTTCGTTCTGTAGGGAGATGTACTAAGTCTGCAGGTAAATAGACAGACACAAGGTAGATATAAAGCAATTTCAAGAGGGAGAGGACACTAACGCTGGAGGTGGGAATCAGAAAAGGCCTTGTAGAGGAGGCTGTGATCCTAGGGCTGTGCTTTGAAGAACGCTAGGGATTTCCTAAGGCAGAGGCAGGGAGGGGTGTGCATGCCAGATGTGGGGACCTAACCTATGCAAGAACATGGGGGCAGGTCCTTGAGGCAGTGTAGGGTGGTGGAAAGCACAGGCTTTAAAGTCAGAAAGCCTGCAGATGAATCTTGGCTCACCCACTAACCACCTGTATGACCTTTGGCAAGTTATTTAATCTCCCTGGGCCTCTGCTTCCTCATGAGCGGGTAGGATTTGGTAACCTCTGACGTCTCTTCTAGTTCTAGAATTATGATCCTAGGATTGAAAGGCTTTGAGTATGGGCCCAATGACTATCATCCACGAGCTAAAATTTAGATAGGCTCGTCACTGGAGGGTTGGTTATTAGGGGATAACATTGGGCGGGGCGGGGGGGGGGGCGGACAATGGAGGAGGAAAGGACCATAACAGCTCAAAAACAGTCTACTAAGGTATGAAAAGGTTGTGAAGTGGGATTAGGGTAGTGGGCTGCAAAGGACAATTCATCCAGTTTGAGTGGAACTTTGCAGTTTCTTCTTGTCTGTTTGTGTTTAGGGCCATGTTGTGTTGACTGATTTTGGACTTTGTAAAGAAGGAATGGAGCCAGAAGAAACCACATCCACTTTCTGTGGCACCCCTGAGGTTAAAATGAATAAATGCTTTGTCTCCTCAGCCATCTCCAAGGGCACAAACCTGAAAGTTATTGGAATGTAGTTGATCACTTGCATGTGTTAATAGCTAAAGTTCAACTTCAAATTGTCAACATTAACTGGATAAAAATTGACATTAACCAGAAATATCTGGCTAATGCTGAATCTTGTGAACATTAAACAGGAAAGGATTTTCTCTATAACTGGATTTAGAATGGTTTCTCCCCAAGACTTTAAATGTTAATAATTGCCAGTTTTGAGTGGTACTAATTTACCATTAGTAATGTTGTAAACTTCTGTCTGTTCTTTCAAGGTCTCACAATAACTAAATGTTTCTGTAAAATAAGATTATCTGACCCCTGTTGACATTAGGATTTGGACTTTTGCTACAATGTGTATATACATCATTATAGTCACAGTGGTTCTCTTTTATTTGGTGGTCAGGGAATCTTCTCCTAATTAAATTGTTGGATGGGAACAGGAAAGATGGGCTTACTGTAGGATCTCCAAGTGATTTCCCCTTATACTGTCTTCTCATGTTGTTTGGACTAATCCCCAAAACATTTGATTATTATCTTGTTGAGATATAGCACTAAATGGAATTGATTTCTGATCCATGAGCTTGTTCTATGGATGTCAGAGTCAGTTTGGGAGATCTGTTGAGTTGCTCACTAATGAAATTGTTTCCCATCTCTTTCTGACCTGCTGCAGGCCACCTTGATAATTGATGAATGATGAATGGTTGTCTGTGGAGAGTAGTTATGGGAACTGTGAGATTATGGGCTTACATGCCCAGTGACTTCTCCTTTTTATGTTATTTCTCTTCTTTTTTTTTTTAAATCTTTCTATCTCTTTTAATAAAATGCATAGAAGGTTTACTATTAGTAGCCTGAATTGAGAGACAGAGATAGTAGAAAAGACACTGAGCCCTAACGTGGATCTGAATTTTAGTCCTACATCTGCCATTAATTGGCTGTGAGACCATAGGCAAATCACTTACCGTCTTGGAACCTCAGTTTCCTCATCTGTAAAATGGGGAGGTTGGAGTGATGATCTCAAAGATCTTTTCTAGATCTAAAATAAGTGAAAAATAATTTGTTAAGTGCTTACTATATGCCAAGCATTAGGGATACAAATACAAGTAATAGAGACAGTTCCTGCACTGAAGCAGCTTACATTCTAATCGGAGAGGACAATACATAAAAAGGAGGTAGAGTCAGAAAGAGGGAAGGTGGAGACAGGAGCATCAGAGTGGTGGTGGCATGGTTTGGAGCTGGCGAGGGATGGCATGATGGCCTGGTTCTAAGCTGGATAAGGTGAAGGCTCACCTATCAGAACCCAGGGGCAGGAGCCCCAGTTTGGGGAGGTGTGAAGTTGAGGAGACCCAGAGTGGTGGTAGAGTGGTTTGGAGCTGGTGGTTATTCTCTTGTTCCCTGTTTATGGCTTTTCTTTGGCCGTAAAAGAGCCAAGCTATCCTTACCAGTATTAGCCCTTTCCCTCTATGATTGAAGAAAAGCATGATGCATAGAAACTCAGTCTGGTTCACTATGGGGATGATTCATCCAATTTCCCCTCACTTCCAGTGCTGCTCTGGGTCTCCCATGTAGGGCTCAATCAGTGATCCTTACAAGGATACTCAAATTCCTCTGAGATACTTACCATTCATTCAAGAGATATTTGTTGAAGGCAATAGGTTCAGGTAATTGTGCTAGAAGTTGTGGGAGGTACAAAGATAATTCCCAGTGCCTTTTCTCAGGTTTCTTACAATCTAGTAGAGAAGCTTTGTAAAATAAGGCAGATATGTGAAGAACTAAGCCATAATAAGATAGTATGTAATAATTTACATAAGAGCGGTCTAGGTGCTTCAAGGAGGGAACTGGGGTGATCAGGCAAGATGTAAGGAAGCAGAACATGGGGCGACTAGGTGGCACAGTGGATAAAGCACCTGCCCTGGATTCAAGAAGACCTGAGTTCAAATATGACCTCCAGCATTTACTAGCTGTGTGACCCTGAGCAAGTCATTTAACCCCAATTGCTTCCGCCCCCCAAAAAAGAAGAAGGACATTTGAGTTGGACCTTGGAGTCAAAATGTTGCTAGAGATAAGGGGAGAAAATTCTAAGCAAAGAGAATGAAATGAATAAAAATGTGCAAGTAGGAAAAAGGAAGGTACATTCGAAGGATACTGGGCAGTTAAATTACTCACTGCAGCCATCCAAATAATTCTCTGTTTGAGTTCTAGGAGTTTTAAAATGAGATAGAAATTTGATCAGTTTTTCCTGTCCATTTCAATTCCTACATTTGGCAGAAATGATCTCTCCAAATAAGTGGGGAAAGCATAATAAGAGAAACTTAGCATAAATGCTAGATAGGGGAAAAGGAGAAAGCCTATACATTAGACTTACATGTCCAAATGAGATTTATTAAAGGACATTTTGTACAGCTGGCCAGAGGATGGGGTAGGGGATGCAGTTCTGCAAATCCGTGCCTGGATTAGCTACCAAGATCGCTTCCCAGCTTCGCTTTTTAGTAAAGGAAAAGTCCCATCTCTGAGATGTGTTAGAAATAACACTTCTTGTTCATTCAGGGGTTCCGAGATGGTTATTTGGTTATAAGTGAGGAGTGAGATGAGATATCTATTACTTCCACTTCCAGACATATGTTTTGGGATCTTTGAGAACTAGAATTGGTTGAGGGGGTTGAGAATATGGTATTGAAGTGTTTCCCAATCTTCTTGAGGTTAACTAGTAAGGAGCATATGGAGACTCTTATCTATAAGCCATTTGGATCCAGATGGATACCTGTACATGAAATTATAATTGGGGAAACCAGGGGAGACCTTGACTGTTTTAGGGGTAAAAGCAAAAGAAAGTGAGAAGAGATTACAACTACATAGGTAGGTATATAGAACAGTAGCCAGTTAATATAGATGGGCATAAGTTTTTCTGGGGAGTTCTGTCTCAAAATTAGGCTATTCTCTCAAGTGAGCATAAAAGACCCTCTGATGAATGTGCTTATTGCTTTTGTGTGTGTGTGTGTGTGTGTGTGTGTGTGTGTGTGTGTGTGTGTGTGT